CCCATCGGTGGCCTCCTATAGGGTTTGCAGCAGGCCGCCTTCCAAAGTGGTTGGGTGCTTTTAGGTTTGCAGGCCCCGAATCGTTTGGTGATCCCCATGACCCATGACTACTTGGGTGTTCGATTCGCCCAGATAGTAAGTTGATAGTAACCCAAGTTGGAACCCGCTTGTAAGGTCCCCATTCAATGGAGCTAGCCCTGCTATTAGCGAGTTGCACCGTTATACCCCAGGGGGCCAAAAGCCCTTCCTAACTTGGCGATCCGAACATCCAAGTACTCTATCACTTCAAGGGGATTTAGTTTGGCATCACACCAAGTGGTCCTACCAGACATTCCAGCAGGTGACCGTTGTCTCTGCAGGCGCGTGCCCCGGCTGGAACCCCAGGGCAAATCATAGAATGAAGACCAAGTCTTCGCGCGGCACTTTCTTTGGCGTTGTGTTTAACATTGTTGCACCCGACATCCCCTCCTTCCATGGCACACAACTCCGCACGAGCGCTATCTGCTTGGCGTCCCACTCCACAGCCTCTAGCAAAATCCCCCCTCCTCTCGTACTCGTCCTTGCAGGGAGCATACCACGAGTTCCCCCCACCCCAAAAGAGGAGCTTCCGTGTTCTTCCCTCGTTCCAACAATCATGAAAGTGGACATCTTGGGGCGTCTTTAAAAGGAAGGTAGTCTTCCAGTCTTCCTGAATCCTCCTGTAAAAGCTCCTCAAAACTTGGGTTGCCATCGATTCTCTTGAGACCACCAGTCCGTTTTTGTTTCTTCTTCGGATGACGGTGGCCGTTTCGGGGAGTCGATCTCTCGAAACCCCGGGCGCGTCTCCGTCGCCTGCGGGGGCGCGTGGAGCGTGTAGAGCCACGCAAGGCCGGAGCCCAGCAAGGACGAGGCGAGGCCTTGGATCGAATTCGAGACGACTGGGCGGTTTGGAGGGTTTGAAGGGACATCAAAAAGGAACCACGCACCAGTTGTCCCATTTTTGGGGCTCAGAACAAAAAAGAACACAACACAAACCAGGCCCACTTTTTTTGATGGCAGATGTCAACGGCAACCAGGGTTCCACCAGGTCCAAGCACAAATCAAGAGAATCTCATGGGCCAAGGTGGACCCAAAGAGGTTTGCGAAGGCAACAGGGGGTCCTCGCAGCAACTCTGGAATCCAACAACCGCATAGAGCTCCACATTTTTCTAGGGGTTGATTCCTTGTCCATTCTTTTCAACCATCGCTCTTTTCAAAAACAGGATCCGTTTTTTTTGTTGGTTTCCGGAGGTGGTCTAGAAAGATTCGGATGCCTGGGTGCAGAATGGAAATGGAAGGTAGCACTAGAACTTTGCTAGCAACGAAGGTTGTTAAGGCCAGGAGTTGCAACCTTTTCTCCCTTCAGACTTGCCTGGAGTTTCCTTCTGACCCTTGAAAAATGGTTGGTCATTGCCAAAAATGTTAGGGTCATTGACCCATTTTTACAAAATCATGGAGACTCCACTTGGACACCTTGGCTTGGGAGTTGATTCCATGCAAGAGGAAACCAACCAAAGGCACTGAAAGACGTCACTTCACTCTCGCTTGTTCGTCCCTGGAAAACATACAAACACCATTTCCAGTGATAGATTCTGTTTGAAACCAGCAGGGGAAAAGAAGATAAAAATACGCCCCCTGTAGATTTAAGATGGAACCCAACAACCGCCATAGAAGAAGCTGCTTTTGGGCCCTTTTTAGGTTCCATATCAATGTCCAAATGTATTGCCATACCTGAGTCCCATTTGTCTCATCCCGGAGACACCGTGGGAAGCCCAAATCTGATTGAAACACCAGAGCAAAACATGTGTTCAGATGCTGGTCCATATTTCTAGTATGATAATTTTGGAGGAGAACCCAGATACTGCTTGGATTGTGCTTTTGCTCCCTGAAAACTCACATGTTGTTCTACTGATTGGATTTTGCCGAGAATATGATGTTCTCAAGATCAAGGAGATGATGGGAAAATATATAAATAATATATATATATATATATTATATCGTCTAAGGATGTAAATGTGACAAATATATTTGATGTTTTACGAGTTCCGTCCCAGAAGCAGACTTTGCTTTGTCACTTCCCAAGTGGACTTGTCAAACAGAGTCCAAACTTGAAATTTGCCCCTGAAATGGTCCAAACAAAACAACGACCAAAGTTCAGAAACTCATTCCCTTCTCAAACAAAAGCAAACAGTTGCTAGCTAAAGCATGGAGGAAATTTATAAGATACTCAATAAACACTTGACAAATAACTATGGATATCAACTGTATTTAGGGACTCTTTCGTGGACATCATCTAGGTGGGGATTCGTGTCCACCAATCAATTTTCACGGGGGTCCCGTTCAAATTCATAGCCATACTGTGGATGAACGAAATCCCGCACCACCCAAAAAAAACAGGAATGATGATTCCCCAATGCAAATAATAGCAACCAACGATAGCTTCCCGTGGTTCCAAAGTGGTGATTTCGAACGGATTTCGTCCATCCAATGGAAGAGCCAAGACTCAAGACACAGCGAGGTTTGGGCCAAAGCATCCGCCTCGAATCGATGTTTTCATCTTGTGTGTTTCTTATTTTTGTCTTTTTCATTTTTTTTTCTGAGGCTGCCAGCGGCCCATGACGCCTTCTGCCGGTGGCGACAAGGCAACCGCCTCGGCGCGAAAGCCCGGGTGCCGCCAGCTACTGAAAGGGGCAGGTACTTAGTAAGCGGTTCTTAAGCCTGGTTATAACCCTCTTACGTCAGGCAAGCGGTTCATAAGCCTGGTTATAACCCACTTCGTGGTTCTAAGTCTCCATTCAGTGGGTAACCAAACTTACCTCGCCATCTACCAGGTACCATGCCCCTTGAAGTACCCTCAAACTGAGCGCCCCGTTGAGGCCTTGATCAATAAACCCCCCTCAATGAAGGAGGCTTTTCCTCCAAGATCCGGTGGGCCAAAACCTTGTCGACCTTAGGGGGGGGAAGTATTTTGTCATGTTCCGTTTTTCCCACGATTTGGCAGCTTGGCCTTCTTCAACGAGGGAAGCTGAGCACACCTTCTTCCAAGACCAACGCGCCCGTGTCTGTCACCCGTATGTATGATTCCACTTCGACCGGCCTCCAAACCCACTCGGAGTGCCTACCAGGGTTTCTGTCGAGGCATTGAGTCCCTGACGGCGAGGTGTTGCAGCTCTTTGGCGAAGCCACGACTGGCGCGGGGATCAGAGGGATACCTCCCACTTGGCCAAATGGTCTAGTTCTACCTGGGGGCACAAAGCTGGTTGTAAGTGGTGTTATAAATGAGGTTATAAATATGGTCTGGTTGTAAAAAGGTCGCAAACCTTCTAAATGACGCACGCAAGAACCCCCTGGGCCAGTGGGGATTTCTCAAAATTGGGAGCACTGTAAAAAAAAAAATGAAGGTTTCGACAGAAACATGTGGGATTCCTGGCCTGGGTGTTTTTGTTCAAAGGGGGGCTCGTGCCGTTTCAGGCATTCCTATGGTCTCACAGCATGAGAACATTCGCGCCACCCTTACCCCACGATCAAAGCCTCAATCTGAAGACCCCGTTTTGTCAACCCCAACCTGTCACTTTGCGCTGGTTGAAAGGGACCATGAGGGAAACCAGGGGAAAGACGTTGAAACGGTAGGCCTTCGCATCCAAAAAAGTGGCCTCCCTCCAAATCTTGGATTCCCCAAATCTCGGAAAGCACATGGATGCCTGTCACGCTGTCAGCCCCGCCAAAGAAGCGCTCTTTTTCCCGCTGCTCTCATTGGCGGCTTGGGAAATCCTAGACGTTTTGGGAGGTCATGTCAATGTGGGTTTGTCTTAAAATAGGGGAACCCCACGGTTGGGTTCCCTGCGGTTTCCCCCAAAACAATACCAACATGGCTTCCCTAAAAAGCACACACGCATGATATTGTCTCAGGAAGTCTTGAACACAACTATGTCTCCTAGTTGCTGCTCAAGGAGCACTCCGGTTGTGGACATTTGGGATTTGTTTTCCTCAGATGGATCACCTAGTGAAACGCCAGCCTGGCAATGCAGGGGGGGTGGAAGCGCATGTTTGACTTCTCACCCTTTGGGCTTGAGCCGGCAGACTTGGGCAAGGTGTGGTGACTTAACCACCTGGAGTCTCCTTCTGACCCTTGAAGAATGGTTGGTCATTCCCCAAAATGTTGGGGGCATTGACCCATTTTGAAAGGGTCATGGAGACTCCAGGCAGACGTTCCCTTGAAGGAAGCCTGTGATTTATTCCCCAATGGCCTAAGCATTTTGCAAGGGGTTCTCACCCCTGTTCTCACCCCTGTGTACTCAGCGAGCTTGGAGCTAACGTGCTTCTTGTTGCTTGTTTGCCGAATTGCAACGCATGAAACCCCCGAAGTACCGCCTTGGCACTCATGAGTGGTCGGCCTGATGAAACCTATTGCTTTGGGACATTGAGCTTAGCAAGGCTCAACCCAGACTGGCCCCATTACTCTACCAACTGGCAAAGTCATCCCAGCAAAAAAGGGCCACTACCCCAGTTTCTGACATGGTTGTGGGAAGTAGCTCTTGCTTTTATACCAAAGTGGGCCACCCCTATGACTACATTGTCACCGCAAAGGGGATGCCGTTAGTATCGTACAATCCACCCTATAATTATTCTAGAAGCATGGCTTCTGACAATGAAATCCCAGAACCAGAATTAACAGTGATTTTCGGGGGTTCCCTCCAATAAGTAGTTGAACAAAGGGAACAACCCACTGGAGCAGCATCAACACACTGATCCCAACCACTTGGTTGCTGTTGACCCCTCTGCACAAAGCTTAGCTTGTTGCGGGTTCAGTGGAAAAATCATTGATGTCAATGTCAACCAGAAAGTTCAAGAACGATCCAACCCAATAGCAATCAAGAACCCGAGACACAGGATCCCTTCTAGAAAACCTCTTTGACAATCAACGATGGTTGACAAGAATGGTTGGAATCAAACAGTAGAACAATGATCCCAAGTCCGCAAACTCAAACTCGGTGAAAGTCTGTGCCCAACACGCTCTTCGTGTCGATCAGCGAGCGTTGTGAGCGTCGCTTCGACCTTGGAGACGGCATCTTTGTGTGTTTTGTTTGTTGTGTGCGCGCGGTTGTTTGCTTTTGTTGTGTTTGTTGGTTTGTTTGGCCGCCTGATCGTATGTTGATTTCCGCTTGCCGGCGATTTCTTTGGCACAAATCGAGGCCTTTACGAAATGTTGCCTGGCAAAAAGTGGGCGCCCTTTGAGACTATCGTGGGAGCCTCTTCTCGGGAGGCCCGTACATCGATCCGCCAAAAACCGGAAAAGAAGAAGAACGCGGCGGCTCGTCGCATATTTCTCTGGCGGGGAAGTCATACCCAGCGCTTCGCAAATTGGGCCGAAACCATATAGCCCTTGGCCCCACACTTTCATATACAACACAATGTTTCATCGACCGCTGAAACCTTCCTGATTTAGAGCACCCACAATTGCACAATGAAGGACCCACTTTAATACAATTTCGAACCCCGCAGCTCCCCACAACTTGTTGAAGAAGAAAGGCTCAAACTTGCTGATTTCCTTTACACGATGCCGCTCCCAGAAAGCACATTTTTTGGGGAGGGATGGGGGGAATGGTTATTACAGCGAGGCGAAAGTTCAAACAGTTCAACAAGTATCCCCAGCGTGGTGCTTTGGAGAGGTTGAGCACGGGACGCTCGATGGGGGGTCTGCAAAAAGCACACACCACCGTCCCCTTTTGGCTTCCCGTCGGGTAAATTAAACACTATTGGCTATGTACCACACCACCCACAAAAGTTGGGAGCAAACCAAAGGCCGACCCCCACCCTCCACCCAGGAAAAGTTCTTGGAACCAACCGGCTTCTCAGAAGAGTCCGAGCAGCTTTCCGCGGGGCTTTTGGGAGCCTACTTGGGTTTTCGTTGCAAAGTTCGTACGTTGTTGATAGCCTAGGTTATAACCTGCGAAGTCAACCTTGACAGCGGGTTATAGCACAGGTGGCTACTTAAAGGGGCATTGTACTTAGCAAGCGCTGAGTCAGCCTGGTTCTAACCCTCTTAGAAGACTTATAACTGTGATAAGTGGGGTATATATAAAAAAATACCTATAACCAGGCTTACTAACCACTTGCGAAGCACAATGCCCCTTTAAGTAATTAGCCACTTACTAGCTTGGCGAATCGAACATCCAAGTAGTCTCTGCTGAGAACAAAGGAATCTGGTGTCAACAGGGCCTAAAGCAGGAGACTCTAAAGATGCCGAGTTGGAACCTGTTGATTCCCCGGAAAAAATCAAAGGGCGCTTCAAAGCTTTCCTGAAAAGGTGATTCGAGAAAACCCAACCCTCCAAGAATAGGACGAAGATCCATAGGTGTCCTTTTCTCACTTGCCCAAAACACCTAAAACAAAAATGGCTCACCCAATTTGGGACCTTTACTCAAAGTGGGAACCCAACAAGTTGTGGGAAAGCCAGAAAAGGTCATGCTTCAGGTCGATTCGGCTTGGAGACCTTGGCTTTAGGTCACTTCGCTTGACGCCTTCACCCGACTTCCCCGCCCGAAAGAAGCGAGCTGAGCTTCGCGCACGTCTTCGAACCTCACGCTCGCGGGGATGAGGCCTCAAAGTGCCGGGGACTCGTGGGCTTGGGGGGAGGGGTTTGGGGGGGGGGGTGAAGGGGGATGGGGGGGTGGGGTGAGGTGGGGTGAGGTGAGGTGAGGTGAGGTGAGGTGGGTGGGTGGGTGGGTGGGGCGAGTGGGGTGTCCAGGACCCAACTCCAATTTTTGCGAGTCTTCCCTATAAAAGCGAAAATGGGTTGCCACAAATGGAGATCTCCAGTCGTCGAAAATCCCCCTCTCCCAATTCCACTAGGGGATGAGGATCTTTAAAGTTATATATATATATATGTCAATTCGGGATACCCGAGGTATATGCGTGGCCTCCCTTTTGGCTTCCCGTTTCGTCAAAGGGTACCCTCCAAAAACACACGCACACAGACCCATTTGCGTTGTTGGTTTCCCAAGGGAAGCCACCAACGAAGGCGGCCTTCCCTTTTTAAAGGGTCGCGAAAAAAAATGGAATCGCAATGCCTGTTCAAGGGCTTATATTCAGAGCATGCCCAGGGGTCTTTCTTCAGAATGTGTTCGTTTAGGTGTGGTTCTACGTGGTTGTCGGGCTTCAAGCAGAAATTATCTGCTTCTAAGCACCCACCTTGTGGGTTGTGGAATTCAAACGGAGCCCCTGCGTCGGGGATGTCCCCTGTGTGGAGACGAACCCACATGCACGTCCAAGGTTTACTTTCTAACATAGTGTGGTGTAAAACTGACAATGAAGTCCGACACCCAGGGGGTTCGCCAATGCAATCCTATTGTCACGTGGCATGTGGCAGAAACCAAGACAGGGGCCTGTTTCGGCCAAAACCTGCCGCTGAAACTTGAAACCCAAGGACTGCCCTCAACGAGGTTTAGGGCAGCCTCGCTGTCTTGATCATTTCTTGTGGGTCCACCACCCCAACAAAGAAAACGACCAGTGCCTCTAAGGTGAGAGCCCCACGGTCTCAAAGGATCCGGGAAAAAAAACAACTCAGGTGATATCCCCAACAGCATGCGGTGCTCCTTTTAGTGCTCGCACCACCCGGCACCCCTCGTGCAACCCTGGTGGAACCCTGGTGAAACCCTCGTAAAACCTTAACTCAGGGCCGCCCCGGACCGGCCCGGAGCCTATCTGGGTTGAGACCCCCCGGGAAAAAGTGGCTTCCGAGACTCTGCTTGAGTTCACGAGAAGACACATGTTGTTCTCGAGCGCGGTTCGCTCCCAAGGGGCCGGGGGGTAGCCAACGAATCCAATGGCAACCCCTGGTAGACCCAAGTGGCTACAGTTTTGCGTGTGGAAGCAAAAAGTCCCATCCTGAGACGGACTGAAGCAACTGAACCTCCCCGAGTTGGTGGTTTGGAGCCCGGCGCTTTGGTGCCAAGGAGCCGGTTTCCATTTACCCCCTGCAAGATCCAGCGGATCAAAAATCTCCAAACCGCCAATCCAAACCAATTGGAGGGAAGCTGATGCTTAGCAAAACAACAAGAAATACGTGGAAAGAACAGTGCGAAACTTTTGGGCCAAAGACTTTCCGAAACGCTGAAAATTCGTTCAACGGCGCTTCGCTTTCATCGGGTGCTTCTCATTCCCCGAAAGGGCTACACTGATTGGAGGAGTCCTTTCAAGCAAAACGGCAAGAGCAAAACGGCCGGGCAACTTGAGAATAAAACAAAACATCGAACTCTACTAGGTCCTCCAGATTTGAGGTTAGAATAAAGGCAATTACCCCTTTTTTCGGTGGTCTATTCTAGTAGGGGACCCTCCCCCCCCCAAGAAAAGGATAAAAGGGCGCTACTGGGGGACCTAGTCTACACATGGACCATGAATTTGAATTGGGGACCCGGTGGACATCCTGACTCATGTCCACCAGCGACTTTTTTCAGGTGGTTTCCCACTTCAATTCATAGAAAGATGCAGTCCTTCTATCCACCAAACATGTGCGCTGGTCTTGGCCTCTGGCAACAAGTTATGTCTTTGTTTGCTAGGTGTTGTCGACCCAGACACCTGGTGAATTGATGAGGGTGCTTCCCACAATTGAAGGATTCCCGCTTTAAAATGGGACCCGGTGAATCAGAAGTCTATAAACTCCGAACGCGGCCCAGTTGGTAGAAAAAGGGTCATGTGCAAGAGGTCAAAGGTAGTGTCCGTCAGAGTCCACCCAAAATACTGGCATTCAAAATATACCCCTCCCCTGCGCATGAGAAAAACCACGGGCTTCATCCCTGGGCCTTCTGGCTGAAACTTAATTAGTGTGTCCCCCCTACTGCCCCTCCCAATTAATTGACCACAGACTGGATATTTTTGACCGGACATGACTGGTGTCAGGCAACACATCTTTGCAGCTTCTGTTCTGGGCCGCAGTGCTGTTGATCAACGGGCCGGCACAGCGCACTGCATACTCCTTACCGGAACCGATGAACGGAAGGACCTAAGCAGGGCCCAGTCTTGCTCCACTTGGCCTCTCCAGTCCCTGAAATTCTGAAGGTCAACCTCCCATTCTTCTCACCCATGTTCTTGCAAAACGTTGCTTCGCAAACTTTTCTGAAGAGAAGGACCCGTGAAAAGAAGGGTGCAGCTTGAACAACGCGCGAAATCCCAGTTGGGTCGCCTTCAAATCAAACACCACACACACACTTCGGATTTGATGAAGACTCAGCAGATTTCTCCGCATTTTCCTGCACATCGTACCAATTTCATTCCCGCTGCAACTTGGTACGGCCTCTTTGGACGATCTTTTTAGCTCTGCATGTGAAACGTCAAGAATCACTCCCATACCTCGCGCAATATCTGGTCTGAATATGAGCCGCAGTCTATATTTTCCCTTTTTTCCTAACTCACGAAAAGTAAGCCATTTCCTCATGGACAATTTCGCCCAATGTGCCAATGTCTTCCCTCGAGCAGATGACGGCTTCTCACGAAATACAAAGGACTTGGCCTTTTGTGATCGGGATACGTGCGTGTGCGTCCCTTTTTGAGGGCAACCGCTTTGTGGTTGATTTCAACGGAAACCACAAGCAAAGCCACCCGCTTCTTTTTCTTTTTTTGGAGGGCACCCAGGTGGTCATGGGTTCACCACGAGTTTGTCACGGGTTTCTCCTGGGTTGCGCATGGTAATCCTTCCAACCTTATTTCCAGTAATGAAATCGATTCCTTTAAAACCAACAAGGGACAAACAAATAATGTTGACCTCATATTCATCAACCCCAGTCTATTAATAGGGGGTGGCTTTTGGCCCCTCCAAAAGTGGTTTGAATCCCCACTGTTCACCCAAGCAAAGGCACCTGGGGTCAACATCATGTATTTTTGCTGAAGTCCCACCTGGCCAAACAAAAGCTTCTTCCAGTTGTGAAATCGATTCCCTTTTAAACCAACAAGAGACAAACAACATATTCCTAACTGTATTGTTTTTTTGGGGGGGTCCCCTATTTTTCTAGATGCACCCACATGGTCATGGGTTTCCCACGAGTTTCCCGCGGGTTTCTTCTGGGTTTCCCCCCCACGCCGTCCATGGAAACAGGGATCCTTACATTATAAACCTGAACATTGCCTTGCAAATGGTGGTTTCCCTTTATTTCGGTGTTGAAAAAGCAACATGTTTCAAATGGTTGCAACATGTATCCCTATTTGTAAATGCACGCACATATGCGCAAATGGTGATGGATTTCTTACGGGTTTCCCTTAGGTGTCCCACGTGTTTCCCATGGGTTTCCCCCCCACGCCGTCCACGGAAACCATCCAAAACAGTCGACCGAAGCGAATTGTTCCCCGTCCGCGAAGGCCGCCAATAGGTTCGCCTGGCGCTGGGTGAAGCAGGGGCTCGCGCCTGCGGCTCGCCGCGTGCGAGACGCGTGTCGTACGGAAGGGGGAGCTGAGTTGCCTAAAGGACCGGAAAACTTTTGGGTTCCCACATAAAAGGTGATCACGTTTTGGGTTGGAAATACAAGGTTAACCTTTTGGGTTGCCATATAAAAGGGGATCGACCTTTTGGGTTGCCATGACGAAAAGTGGACCAAACAGGAGCAACTGCAAGGTGTAAAAGGTCATCTTTTAGGATACCATGACGAAACATCGACCAAATAACAAAAACTAAAAGGTGAAAAGGTCGATTCGCTTTGGGCAAGTGAGCTATATGGGCGTTGATCTGGGCTTATGTTGTTCTCCCGAGCAGTCGGTCATAAGATACCGCTTTTTTGGGTGAGACTTTCAGCGCGAGGTCTGGTTGGACAAATTTGGAAAATCAACAATGCTTGATCAATATTCTTGACCCCCAAACGACTTTCCCCATTCAGAGGGACATATCATCGTTTTAGTGGTTCCATTGGTTATCCCATGTAAAGGACTTTTTGATCAAACCCCATATGTTTGGTCGATGGTGTTTGTCAAACATTTCTAGATGGATGTGGGAAAGGGTTTCTTTCATGTGTTAGGCAATCCCCCGCTTTCAGTGAAGAATTAGAGTCGTTGGGAAGGTCTATGTCACAGAAGTGGGCTGGACAAAAATATTAGCAGTCTTCAGGCAGCTGCGCAACGCCCAGAACACCATGACACTCTTGCTCACACCCAGCAGGGACTACAGTTGAGGGCGTCAGTGCAAATAGTTCACACCACAAAACGGGACGGAGAAAACCGGTGCATATCTGTGACAGTGCATCTGCCAACGCCGATGTCTCCGCCGCCGCAGCGTCCGTAGGCCCCGGGTTCATTTGTTGATGCAGAGCCTCCACCCAGTACGGGGATGGAAAATGCCACTCACATGGAGAAACCAGCAAAAACACGTAAGATTCGGTGGTTTCGGCGCCACTAGCCCGGAGACCAGTGATGGTTCTCCATCAGAGTGTGGGTATCGCACCAGGCCAGGGTCGCTTTTGAGTAACGCACCGGAGGATGTGGCGATCGAATTGGAACTGCAATAACTCGTAGTCACAGCCTCAATACTTCCCGCACGAAGTCTTTCTTGGCAGACTCATGAGAGCTGTTTTCTGGGAATAGTGCCTCGACTCACGGTCCTAACCGTGGAATTGTCTGTAGGGTCCTAACCGTGGAAAAATCACCGCGCGTTCAGGCCTAAATCATTCTGAGGTTGGGCTAAAAGAACAGTGTGTGCAAGTCTTTGCCCCCTTCTTTACCTAGTTCTCAGCACTGTTTCGCCAGAAAACACTGTAAAATACAGTGTTTTGTAGCATGTTTCATGTTAAAATCACATCCCCACCAACACCCGGTCTCTTTTTTTAGGGGTTCCAGAACGTACCTGCCCCAGGGGTTCACGGGGAACAATTTACAGTGATCGTTGAACCCTGGTTTTGTGGTTGGATGTGGTTCACTTGCAGGGTTCTTGCGAGCCATTTCGTCAACCCATGGCTTTGGGTTGGCCCCCTTAGGCCTGAACATATTGCGCCCGTGGTGAGCGCATTTAGGGGACACAACACCAAGGGATTCCACTTGAGGCTTCTTGATCGAAACCTGGACCCAAACCCAGGGGGCGCTAACCGAAAAAAACCCGGATGTTCAGATTCTTTTTCTCAGGTGCCCAGATGTTTTTCAGATGCACCTTTGGGGCCAGGACTAAAAATGGGAAAAGGGGAACTAACAGGTCAAAAGGTTGATTTATTTGGGTGAGTAGTTCGCCCCAAAAGCAACTGATGGACTCCGTTTCCTCTTCCCTTTAAGCCCAATCCTACAGGTGGGCCTGAATTCAGACATACCCGGAGACCTTTGGAGAATTGTCCAATGCAAAGCAGCCAAAATCTATTGACATCGCTCAGTTTACTGGTTGGTTCCAATGGTGGAACCTTCAAACAGAGATGCCGCATCCTTTTCGAATTTCATGGCTGGTCTTTGTGACCGAACAGGTCCGTCAAGACTCTTGGTTTGATCAAATAGCATCGCTTTTCCACACCTACAAAAGCTGGTAGACGGTTGCTGGGGAGTAACCCCGTTTCTGTGCCCTCCAAATGTGGCAGCAGTTCTTATATGGGAAAACACCCGCTGATTCTGATGAGCCATATATGCGGAATCCGAGCTGACATTGGATACCAAGATGGCAAGGCTTTTACCTGCACCAGGAAACCAACACGTTAACTTTTTGCTGGTTGAAAGGCAAAAGGATGGAAAAGCAAAAACCAGTCAAAGAGGTAGGTAATGACGCAGGGTGGCTCCAAAAACCGACCCGCACGAAGCTAGAAGTTCGGCTCTTGCAACAGAAAAACTGCTCGAAAACCTCTACCAATAATTCTGCCCTTGTGGATGGGTCATGAGTTTGCGGGTCGGAGCAACACTAGAAAGTGGAAAAATCATCACTAGAACAAAAGCAAACACACGTAAAACGGCCAATCCTCAGGTTTTAGGCGCGGTTTGGTGCTGTCAAATTGGGAGGGACATCTAAATCTCCCACAAACAACAGGGGACGACGCCAAATTATCCATGCACATTGGGGAACCCGCCTACGTTGACCATGGCCAATATGTCGGTGTGTGTGTGTGTGCATCTTATGGTTGAAAGGCAGAAAGCGATGGTCATGAACCCTGCAAGGAATCTACACAACCATTACAAGTTCAGCTTGTAAAGGGTCCATGATCACGGCTCGCATAATGTCAAAATCGAAAGGACCATACTGGGAATATACTCAAAGGACTCCCTTGTTATTGTTTAGTAAGGTTCTCCGACTAATCTGACGTTTACATTAGCTCACAACGGGCCATTTGTTAACCAGGGTTGTATCCCAACTAATCGAAGGGCTCAAACCCCTTTTTTGCCCCCTTTCAAAGTGCTCTAACAGACCACACGAGTCACACGACTCCATGACGGAAATACATGTTTGCTGAAAACGCGTTGGCCCGCTTGCGAGAAATTTGGACCGGCCCCGCTCTCGTCCTCAGACTAACAATAGGCTGCCAGTCGCTGGTCGCTCTTTCTCGTCTGCATTTCCCTTGGTTCAATCATCAGCTTTTCTTGCTCTCACTATGACCCTTATAAACCATCCCTTGTGGTTTCCTTAATTAAGGGCATCCCCAGGCTCATTCCCTCATTCCCCACTCAGCACCAGCAAGTTTTGCAAATGTGTGTCATGTCTTTTAGGTTTAGGCTTCAGGCGAGTTCCAGGTGCCTTGGACTCTTTCCTGTTTGCGATCCGTCTTGCGGTAACGTATATAACTCCCCTTCATTTTGGCACCCCCCCCCAAAAAAAATAGAAATTTTGGTGGTCCTTTTGATTTCCAACAGGGTACCCTGCAAAAACCAATTGCGATCCCACCAATCCCATGTCCTGCGGCGGCGGAAGGCCGCAAGAACCTCGGAACGAGGGGGGGTTAGACCGTTGGCAGGCCAAGAGAAACAGACCACACTTCTAGTGCTACCTTCCATTTCCATTCTTTCCAGGGACCCTTCTTTCGAGACAACCTCCGGAAACCCAGGGAAACGGCCGGCTTTTGAAAAGAACGAAGGGTTGAAAAGAATGGGGAATCAACCCTTAGAACGCCTTTAGAAACAAACAGCTTTCCAAAAGGGCAGTCAAAGAGAAAAACCGAAACACGCGAAAATCAGAAAATTGACGTGCAGACTTTGGGCGAACATGTTCGAGCCCCACACGTGAGCCTGCTCACTGTCCAATCCACCAAGCTTTCTTGAACTACTTTGAAATTTATTGGTTGCTTTCTGCTCCCCTGCTAAAAGTTTAACTTTTAGTGGTTTAATGGAAAACACATTAGTTGGCAAAAAGTTAAAGTCCTAACATCCAAGCAAAATGCACCAAAGACTTGACAGTTTACGGCCTTCCGAAGCCTGAAGCAAGGAGTCCCAAGTAGAAACGAACCTTCATGGGATCCCCCCTACCTTATGGGGGAGGGGTTGGGGGTTCCTCAATTGCATGTGGCCAGTCTTGCCTATGAGAGGGAAAGTGAAACCATAAATGGAGATCTCCAGGGGTTACCCACAGCTCCCCCAATTCCGTTTGTTTTACTCCCAAAGTGGGTCATTTCCATCAGAAGGATTTCGGTTGAAACCTTTTGAGGTTGGCTAAACCTGTTGTCCTAAAGGGAAACCCAAAGGAAAACCACCCATTTTCGGGGTCCCTTTGAAACCACATGCCTGCTTTTTGGCATAATCCAGGTACAAATCCAGGTACACGACTCAATCATGGCATATCATGGCATAATCCGCAACCTTTGCAGGGAGGCTTGTTTTGCCCACCCTTTTTAAACAAAGGTACATCCACCCGTTTTTCCCCCACCCCGCCCCCACCCCCCCCTCCCCCCGGGTTTCTTAGGCTGCGAAATCATTTTTGCCAATCAGCATTGATCTCAGGTCCTGATGACTCGCTCTCCTACCAATTTGGCTTCCCATAGGGTGGACCCCAATTTTTCCTGGCTCGGGCATTCAAACCCGGTGGAACCCTATTTTCCGATTTTTTGGTCATGGAACCTTTGGGTCCTGATTTTTGTTTGAGCCATGCACACCTCCGAGATTTGAAGGAAAACGCCACCATCAGATTGGGCCCGTTGAGTCAATTCAGGTCATTGACCAAGGGAACCTGGTCCACCCTTTCAACAACCAATGGCACTGTCTTGTTACCTACCGTTTTTTCGAGGTCGAGAAATCAGATGCTTATCCCGTGTTGATTTCCTAGGGGAAATTAACAATGGGCTATGTAGCACCCACTCTTTCTGTGCATACCGTTCAGCGGTTTCGAATCCACCCCCATTGATCACCTCTTGGCCTCTCGCAGAAACTATGGTCACCAGCCGATCAGCGTTTTACGCCCGAACAAAACTCGCTTTTTGATTTCGGTCCGCATGGAAGTTGAGCAAAAGGTCCTTTATAAACAGGGGGTGACCATTACGGAAACCACCAAACAGATACCCATGGTCATTTGGGACGAGGAATATTGATCAACCTCCATAAATATATGGTGAGTGAAAGGAAAAATCGTGTTCAAGGAGATTCCAGTGAAAGTAAACACAACAACTCCGCTGCATGACTTTTTAAACCAAAGTGAGGGAATTGTGCCATCTACGCGTTCACCCGACTGTAGTGGGATCCATTTCCAGGAAAACCTTCCAAGTGGCTTTCTGGCTGGGTGGCTCAGGCTCACCATGGGTTACGTGACGCTAAGGGGACCAAAAAGCGATCGGCCGAACTCGTTCCAAATCGAGCCGCGGGAAGTTGGGGAAAGAGCCGCTTTGGCCCTTCAGAAGCTCGTCCCGTGTCTCCTGCGAAAGAATGCCTCTTGGTACCGTGGATGGACGAATCCGTTCGCAGCCATGGGAAACCCTTGTTGGCTGGTTTTTATAGGGGAATCCTCATTCCAGGGTTGTTAGATGGTGCAGGATTTCGTCCATCCACAATATCACAGAGTTCGGGTGATTTTCCGTACCCATGGCGCTACACAACCCACATGTTCACGGTTTTCCCAAGCATGGTTGGGGGAAGGCTTGAAGGGTGTACTGTGGTAAACCATGTCATATCCCTTTTTGGACCTCCAAAGAGATGCAGTTTCACCCAATAGCTTGCAGGGGAAATCCAGTGGACAGTAAGTGTAAGTGATAAAGTATCCAAGAAACCATCAAACCAGGATTTTCTCCAGGAAGAAAATCGCGCAACGTATTTTTTTTCTGGAGAATCTGCTGGAACGAGATGGTTTCCGTCATGGTATTGCCAGGAGTGTCCAACAAAAAAAGTGTCTGGACAATGGGCGGCCCTTTGGTTTCTCTCTGATTCATGCTTGGATTCATGTGTGTCTTTGGTTTCTCATTTCGTTTCTTTTTGCACACATCTGATCTTCGCTTGGATTGGTACGTTCGGGTTCCATGCATATAGCAGGCAAGTAAGAAGTATACAGGCCCGCTGTTCAATGGTGCCACGGAGGTCCTGTTTCGAGCAGCCAGCGTCGGAAAGGGTAAGACCCTCAAAGCTGATGTGAAAAAGCGCAGCGGCCGAAACACAATCGTAGGCCCCCTGAATTAGTGGCATTTTTGGTTTCTCTTTATATAGACAAGGTGAACAGAGTACCCGGAAAGACACACACACACACACACACACTCCGATAACATAAACACTGAGTCATAACCGAAAACCGGTTTTTGACCGAGTCTCCAAAACCCGTGGTGAGAGACTATATACCTATACATCTATTTATTGCTGGGACTGTCTCCAGCAACTTTCAGCTTTCGATTGTGGCTCGCGGCAAAAGCAGTGCAAGTGCAATAGGGGGTGGTCCAAGGGGGGAATTCCCTACGGCTCCCCAAGGAACCCTGGAAAACCCTGAGGAACCCTATGGAAATCGAACACTCTCAACTACCCACCCCCCTTGTACCTACCCCCCAAAATTCCATAAATGGCTAGACCCTAATTCATCAAGCGCCCGGTCATAAGTCAGGACAGAGTTCCCATTAAAGCAGGCCCCCCCCTGAGAAATAACTACTTGGGTGCTTGGTCAAGTTAGCAACACAAGTGGTCAGTAACCTAAGCTATTACCTGCTTCCAAGTCGCCTTTAGTAGACTTAACCTTGTTATTAGTGGATTCTGCCTGGCCGAACATCCAACTGGGGCTCAGAAATCAGGGGTAGACTAAACCCAAGCTCGTTTTGCCCAGGCCATCTTGGTACAAATTCGTCAAGCGCACGGTTGTCAAAGTGGACCCCTCTTTGCTTACCGACGCCTGGGCCCCGAAAAGAACACGAAAAGTCGACGTTCAATCACCGAACTATGTCAGGCCAATATCTCCCAGACTCTTTCAAAAAGAAACCTTGTGTTGGCCAACAAGCCCCGTTGCAAACTGGAAACTAAAAGTTGGCATGTTCAACAAACTTAGTAGGTGATCTCACCATGGTTACAACTAGGGTAACTGAGCCTCCCCTTACCATGGGTTGCTTGAAGATCCTACCTGAGGTTGGCAACAAACATCCAAGAAAAAACGGAGCATGAGTTCAAACCAACACGAAGCAGCTGCCAATTCAATCACCCACTGGAGCTGTTGAATTGAGAAACCTGAGCTGTCGCAATGGTGGCTCGTCTCTTTTTTTTCAGCTGAGCTGGCGATTGCTGGATGCTCTGAGCTGGTCCAAACCCAGTTCCCCCAATTATAACCACGGCTATCACCTTCCCTGACGCTAGTTGAACACCCCAGTATTGGCTCGGCTGCGAAATCTGCTCCCCGGCTGAAAGTTTGTTTAACCTTTCGTGGTGTAATACGGAAAACCCACTAGTTGGCAAAAAGTTAAAGTTCTAACATCCCTTGGCAAAATGCGCCAAAGTTAGTATTGCTTCTTGACCCGCAGCAAGACCGCGGCGCGGTCCAGGACAAGGAAGAGACCACCAGGACCCCGCCCGAATTCTAACCGTCGCCACGCTCCGGACCGTTGAAAAGCGGCTGATCCAACAACTTCCACCCTTTTGGTGGGTGGGGGCAGGGGCTCTAAGAGACCCCTGAACAAAAACAGAACGTTAAACTTCATGTATAGTTTGCATCAAACAAGTATCAAAGAACTAATATCTCATTAATCGCTAAGGTTACCACTCATAGAACCTCCCTTGCCCCCAAACGATATTAATCACAGAAATTTCATCATAATCCAATTTCAAGACTCTGCCTCCCTCCCTCCAAACTTTTGCGACTCTCGACGACTCGACACTCCTGCGGCAGACGCGAGAGGAAGTCGCTGTTACCGCTCTCCAGATGGATGAGCACAAGCTCCACCGTCTGCCCACCTGGAATTTCAGCCCCCCGCCCAAGCTCCCTCCCCCCGTGTCCCCGAAACACCCCAAAGATATCTGGGTTTGTCTCAGCAGTAGGGAACCCTCACAACGGGTGGTTTCCTTTTGGTTTCCTTGTTAAAAACCAACCAAAAAGGAAGCTCCCCAAAAAAAGAAACACACAAACACACGCACACACACACACACAACCACAACAAACATACAAACACAACACACACACACACACACACATACGCACACACACACACGCACACACGCACGCACACACACACCCACCCACCCACCCACCCACCCACACACACACACAGACACACACACACACACACACACAAAACACCACACACACAAACAACACACACACACACCAACACCACACACACAAACAACACACACACACACACTTACACACACACTTACACACACACGAGCACACAAGCACATACAGTAAATGCACAAACACACGAACACACAACCACACAAACACAACAAACACATAGACACACACACACACACCAAACAAAAAAACAAAAAAACGCCCACGCAGGCACGCATGCACGCACCCACGCACCCACCCACACAAAGAGAGATAGAGAGAGAGAGAGAGAGAGGGAGAGAGACCCACACACGCACGCACGTCTGCACGGGATCTCTCTCTGTCTCTCACTCACACAGACACTCGTCCGTCTACACTACCCGGCAAATAGATGGCACATTTACGACGTATATTTTTAGGTAGATGGCACGGTGTGATTTTAAAATGGCCCATGCTCAGTTGGCACATATCTTCAATTATCCGGCGAATTGTGCCATCTACTGGCTCAAAAAATCAGGGAATATCCAGGGGGTCAACAAATTGTGCCATCTACTTTGGCACGCGCACTACAGAAAGTGGGGCTGGTTTGTTCGACCTAGACCTATGGTTTCCGCACAGAATTTGCAAGTGAACTAATCATACTCAACCACAAAACCAGGGTTAACGAGGGTAAGTTAGGCTTTCCGAATGCTCCCTTCGTGCAATACTGATGCCGGCCTCAAATACGCAGGTTGTTGTTGGGCAACTTGTCAAGGGGTTTTGCTCAACAAGTTGAACAGTCTACTTGAGATTCCACCGTCCTGGGTTCTAAGAAACAGGAACATTCCAAACCCATTTGCAACCAGTGTGGTAGAAAAAATATAAGACGAGGGTTGATTCCGCCGATGTTTCAACCGGGTGGCATTTGATGGGCATCTTTTCTGACTACCAGGCTGGTCTCTTAGATTAGACTCAGACATCCGGTAAATTTTACATGGGACAAGAAACACATTGGGCCACATTGGGGTAGTTGGCGGTAAAGGTTGCCCCACTCCAAAAAGGCTGAACAAAGGAACTGAGCAACGCCCTCTTCACCCACGACTTTCTGGTAGCATGGTTAAGGTTTAACATAATCTCGAACTCAGGGCATGTGTCGAAGGTGTACCCCATGGTTTTCTTTTCGCTGTCGGATCCCCTGCCAAAAACTCTTTGTGGATGAACTGGAAACCACGAAGTCAAAACCACTCAAACCCTAAGGATTACATGGACAGCCCCACTCAACTTTTCCTGAAAACCACCAAAACCCAACAAAAGCCGCCAGTTTGGGTGTCCCTTGAAACGCGCAAGCCATGGGCTACCCCCAACTTCGCAACTCTCGCGCCCGGACCCGCGGCGCCTCGGATCTGCCACTTCTCGTTGGGCAGCAGCCGGAGACGGCGTCGCACCACGCCTGCCGAAACGTCACCAGCCGAGGAAGAAACCATGGTTGACGGTGGAAGGGGAGCAAAAATCTTCAGATTTTGAGAGTTAAGTGGATTTGCATTTCAACCACTAAACCGCAATAAGCAAAAATGTGAAATGTTTCCCAGCAACCACCATGAAACCACCGCTCCAGGGGATGCTGGGAGCGCGGGTGGTCTGCAGAGACCTGCATATTGATTGAATTGTTTGGGGGGATGTGCATCTTATCTTGAACTGCTGTCTGCTGTGTGTTGGGTTTTTGTCCCAGGGGACGTGCATGTTGATTGAATTGTTTCAGGGGATGTGCATATGTTCTTGAAGGGAATCCCTGACTTCGCCGACTTCTGCGGCATGGTTGGAAGCTTCCCGCTAATCCCACTGGGAAGCGCGCGTACGAAGGAGGGGGGGGGGGGAAGGCGAGTACCATGCCGCGATTTTGTGACGTTCACTCATTTTCACTTACTGGGCAAGCCGCTGGCGGAGGGTGGGGGAATCCGATTGTGTGAGTTGTATGGTGGGTTTGTGTGGGTTTTCTGGGGGTCGCGTCTGGGTCTCATGCGGGTGTTGGAGCGGTTTTGTGTGGGTTTTGATTGGTTTTCGTGTGCCTGGGTGTGCGTGGGTTTCTTTGGGAATTGGATGGGCTTTGGGTCTCCCCACTCCACACCCCACGCTCCACACTCCACACTCCACACTCCACACACCACACACACACACACACACGACAAACGACACACGACACACGACACACGACACACGACACACGACACACGACACACCACACACCACACACCACACCACACACCACACCACACACCACACACCACACCACACACCACACCACACACCACACCACACACCACACCACACACCACACCACACACCACACACCACACCACACACCACACCACACACCACACCACACACCACACCACACACCACACACCACACCACACCACACACCACACACCACACCACACACCACACACCACACACGACAAACGACACGCGACACACGACACACGACACACGACACACCACACCACACACCACACCACACACCACACACCACACCACACACCACACCACACACCACACCACACACCACACACCACACCACACACCACACCACACACCACACCACACACCACACCACACACCACACACCACACCACACACCACACCACACACCACACACGACAAACGACACGCGACACACGACACGCGACACACGACGCACCACACACCACACTCCACATTTCCAACTCCCCACTCTCAACCCCCACCCCCAGCTCAAAGGGCTAGGCGAGCTCCAAAGCCGAACATATTAGATCAACCACCAGAGTCCTCAAAACATATACCAAACTAAATCAAGATCAAAGGACATGTCACCACTCATTCAGGCACCGCCTCTAAAGTAGAATGCCGAAGGTACGGCTAAGGGTCAAGTACCTTGTGAAGGGTTCCTGAAGGGATGCATGCCCAGGCTGGATTTGGATGCAAAGGTGACTTTTTGGAGCGGGCCGACACTTGCATTCTTTAAGCCACCCTGTTCCAGGGATGCAGGGGGGGGGCACCGATTCAGATATCTCGGGCCAAAGCGCTTTTCTAGTGAGTTTCCTAGCTCTTCAAGGGTGGTTTGGAGGTGTTCTCGGGCGGTCTCCCATGTACCCACAAGAACCAAGGAGTCAAAGCCAAATCCGAGCCACCATCCAAAGGGCTACCTGATAAAAATGCGGCTCTCCTTTTGGGTCTCCCTTCAAAACCGACTCAGAAAAGACACAACCATGTCTTCCCTTGACCAAAGCATGTTGGCGCAAGGTTTGCGATTCCAAGACTGGGATCCAGAAGCAAAGGACCTTCGAGCTGGTGTTAGCTCACCAAAATAGGAGGAGTGGTTTCTGCGCAGCTTCTATGGATACTAAAGGTGATTGCAAAATTATGTCCTGCCATGATTGGGTGGTGCAGCCTGTTGTAACACAACGGTGGTTCTGGGGAGTTGGGAATAATTTGCCAGTAAGATTCCGGTAGACATGAATCTGAATGAGCCACCTCAGAAGTGCCAAGGACGTGACTCCCCAGCGACTTCTGAGATTCTGATGTCCAGCAAGGGGGCCCAGCTCAAAATTTCACACCCTTTCAGGGTTGCACTCTTCGACTAGAGTAGACTTAAACCCCCAAAACGGAGAACCGATTCCTGGGTTTAAGAGTACCTGAAGTCTCCCTGACCCTTAAACAATGGGAATATTACCCAAAATCTTGGGCTCATTGATCCATTTTTTGGAAGGGTCAGAAGGAGACTCCAGATAGGTTCTAAAATGGTAGACCCACAGCCATTTCTTTGTGCCTAAAGAATCCCAGTGGTCAAATAAACCCAAAACGGTTTATCCGGCGAGCGCCTGGCTCCCCGGCGTCGCGGCGCACCGTGAGCTGCTGCAGCACCGCCGACAGCTCCGTCTCCCGGAAGACCTCGACCGAGCTGACACCCCCACGGAGCGCCGAAGGACGTGGTTGAGGCTGTGGATGGTTGAATCGAAATCCGGAAATCGCACCACCTAAGAAACCCTAGAATGATGATTCCCATGTAAATACCAACAAACGTTATGCCATGATTTTGGGTCATGACCAACCAATTTTAAGGGTCAGAAGGAGACTCCAGGTATACCATGGCATTGTGGATGGCTGCGAAATCCAGAAATCGCACCACCTAAGAAACCCTAGAATGAGTCGATTTCCTATGGAAATGCCAACAAATGGTTGACAATAATGATTCCCATGTAAATACCAACAAACAATGTTGTTTTACCACCCTTCAGAAACCCTGGAGCTTGGTTTTTTCCTGATACCGCTTGCTTTTCCGCACCCACAGCCAGGTGACTTTGCTTGAAGGGGTGTTGATACTGTATATAGATCTACCCAAGAAACCCTAGAATGAGTCGATTCCCATGTAAATACCAACAATGGTTTGTACCGTGGTTTCAAGTGGTGCGAACGGATTTCGTCCATCCACAGCCTAGCCGTCGTTTCTTGTCTACGTAAAGGGGCGATCGACTATCGGGTACGTCAGGTAAGTTTAGTAAGCCTGGTGAGAGAACCCAAAAGCCATGGTTACAAGTCTTCTCAGTGGGTTGTAACCAGGCTTACTAACCATTTACCTGACGTACACTGCCCCTTTAAGTAGGAAACAGTTTGGAGGCGGTTTTTGTGGATCCACCCCTGTAGCAAAAGAGTACAAGAGCATTAAAAAGGGAACAACTGGTAAAGCAACAGATTCTATTATCTGGAATACTGTGAAGTCTATCAACACCTTCGTAGCCATGTTAGCATCTACAAGTCATCGAGGGGTTCAAACCACCATTAAAACAATGGGGTTCATGTAACCACCAGTGTTTGCTGGTCAGGATTGTCATCATCCAAACTGGGTCAGCCATTCTTTTAGTGGGGGGTTGAACCCTGGCGTTTCTGTGATAATGCTGACCCCTGATGAATACCCCCCCCCCCCCTCCTCCCCCCCCACTTGTTAATCAGGGTCCTCCTGCAAGAAAGGATTCCCCACTAAAAAGGGACCCCCCTTACGAATAGGTGGGGTTTATTAATCAATTCCCAACAGAACAGCATGTTTTGGGGGAAGCACCCCAAGCAAAGACAGACCCGTGCACCATCCTTGTGACTACTTTGTCAATGTGTCCTTTGGCGTCACAGAAAATGGGCCTAAATCTCCGTTTTCCACGACCATGATCTCGCGGTTGGAACGGCAACGGATTGAGGGCTATTCGCAAAAACCCAACGAATTGGTGGCTGCTACAAAGGCATTGATGGTGGAAGCCAAAATTGGGACGGACAAACTAGTTCACCCGTGGACTTTTAGGTTCTATCATGGTTACGAAGGTTTATACAGACTTCACAGTACTCCCAATGAACCAGGTGATAGACTATGCGGATGGTTGCAAAATCCCCAACGCACCAGACATGATGGATCACCTAACAGGTGATGGGCGGATTTTGCCCACAGTACGGGGTTGGAACACAGCAAATGATGAAACAACCAGGCTCATGATTTAGCTTCCAGGATTGGCTCAACTTCTTGTCGACACCCGGAAACAAAGCTGTTCGGGGATCTAAGAAAGCCACGCCGACTTTTGTTCGAAGCGTTGACTCAGGGATCCCTCCAACCGCTTGTTTTGGTCTGAGACGCGTTTGGGTTTTTTTTGGGGGGTTTGATGGAGGGAGTTGAACTAAGAGAAGACGCACACCAAGCAGCGCTGGGGCGTCAAGGACTTGGAGGCAGAATGCGAAGAGGGAAAGGAATGCCACAGCTGTGGATCAAGATGCTTCGTGGACTCACTTCCTGAGTCTGACCCAAAAACAGCTCCCCAAACTTTGGGCTTGTCACTAAAATGGACCCAAGAAGTAGAAGGTCCGAAGCGGAGCTCGGGAAGCGAGTCTGGGACGCTCAGGGAAAGTCGCCCTTTCTGGGGGGTTGAATCCAACGAAACGGTTGACTCATCGAAGGAGAAGCAGGTTTGTAGGTAGTGCGTCGCCAAATCAGACTCCGTGCTCCGCCAAGACCTGGAGCTTCTCGCCCGACTCAAGGACAGCGCCAGTTCGTCCAGCCGCGCCCGGAAGTGTAGCTTGAAGCTGCGGTGCAGCAAAGCAACTCAGCTCCTCAGCTCCTCTATTTCCGCGCCGTCCGAAGAGATCTCGGCTCTTTGCGCCCGCTTGTGAATGCTGGCTGCGCATTGATCTCATCAGAAGATTAGGGAGGGACTGGGAGGTACACCCAACAACCCTCCCAACTAACATGGAACCTGACAGGGACATGGGGGGGTGCTGGTTTGGACCATTTTCCCCTTAACTTGGTTGCTGTTGACCCCCCTGCAAAGAGTGGACCACTTTTGGGGGTTTTAGTTCGGAAAACCCGACTTGATTTCAACCAAAAAGTTAAAGTCTAAAGATCCGTTGCCCAATAGCAGTCAAGTTGAAGGGACCATTTCCCGCACGTCAGGAGCCGGCGACCTCGAAGTCGAGCCTGCGATTGCTTCGCGGATGCCCGGCTACCTGGCGTGGTCTCGTGGGTGTCCAGTTGGGTGTGGCTCAAAACGAAACCACTGGGACGTTCCGCAGGTTCTAGTCTTTGGTTCTATTTGCCAAGGTGCCCTTTTGGGTACCATTTTTTGACCCACAGCCAGTTGGCTTTACAAATGCCACTTACTCTCTGGTAAGTCTGTGGGAATTTACTTGCTACTTCTGTGGAAGGCTGGAAGGCCTTCCGAATGGCAAGTTCTCTCTTAGGAATGGTTTCCTGATATCACAAAAAGTGGAAGGTTGCCCAGATCACTTTTAAACAACACCAGCGGCATCGCGGAATGGCCATTTACGACAACCCATACGGACCATGCAGCTGGCAACTTTCGTTCCGAGCCGGTCCCTTGGAAGCTTCCCCCCCTCCCCCCAAAAAAGTGCGCATTTGTCCGGCTAAAAGGGAAGATGACGTTCAGATTCTCCTGGCTCTAATTCCTGCATCACCGCAGATTCGTCCAAAGAAACAGGAAAGAACTCACACCAAATATCTCCACGCCCAATTGGAAAACACGTGGCCTGTTTCCCCATGCTCAATATTGGACCACCCCCGCATGGTGCTTTTCCTTTCGTCCTTCCATTTGAACCAGGCTGCAAAGGGTGCTTCAAAAGCGACACGCCACGCCCAAATGTATGGGGAAGTTCCCTTCATTGGGGTGTAATAATTATGTCCCCCTTCATACGTTGTCTCTCAGGGGGGAGCACTACTCAGTCCACGACAGCCTAGAAGACAGTCGATCGAAATTCCCGTTTTTTGTTTTTTTTGTTTTTTTTTATTGGGATGGAACTTCCCATCGGTGATGTTAGAATTGGATTGAGTTACCCAGGGGGTGTGGTTAGAATTGCGGGAAGTTCGAGCGTTCACCTAAAGTGCGAGAATGCTTGAAGGGGCAACTCAAAAGGAATCGGGAGAAAACCGAAGGGCTGCAAATCCTATTCTCGGAGGCCCCACGCACCCCAGCGGAACTGCAGCCCAGCAGCCGGCAAACCCTTCAGAAAAAGAATCCGACTTGTCCGGGTTCGTTGTTTTGTGCAAGGACCCCACCACAACGGTGAAACTGGGGTGAAGGGTGTTGAACGACAGTACGAAAGGCTCAGGGGTCTTGTCACGTTGTGTGACAACTTTGGAGTCCCTTTCGCCGGCCCCAAGAAGGGTACGATCAAAAACAAACACAAAAACACAAACACACACACACACACAACAAACACATGCTCCTCCCCGCCTGGCTGCGCGCACCCGAACTTCTCCATGATGTCCCTGGGAGTTTGCCCACATCCCGGCTGGGGTGTCTTGCGCAAAATCACAAGGGTGTGGTGCAAAAAAATGAGCTAGAGTTACACAGGTTTTAGTCTTTGGCTCCATTTACCGTTTGGTGACATTTTGGGTACCATTTTTTTGAGCAGCCGCGTAGAGGCTCCAAAAGCCCGAGAGACCCTTCGACCTCCCAGTTGCGACCAGTGACGCGCGTGAGAAGCAGAAGCTTGGGAGCCCTTTGTGGGTCGATCTCATTTTCGTTACGGGAGAAAAGGCCGCTGCTGAACAACTGGTTACCCCTACTCTCACCGCTTCAAAGGTTGGTTTCCTTTCCACGAGCGTCACAATAGGGTGCCCCAAAAAGGAATGGATTCCTTTTTGGCTTCCCTTTAAACCAAACCCGAACAGGGCGCCAACTCACCAAAAACCCAAATCCATTTCGTCGCCCAGAAATGGATTAGGTGAACATAGGCTACCAACTGTTGGGGCTACTAAAGCCGAACCAACGAAGGGAAACAAACGGGTCGGTCATTGGTTGGTTCACCTTGGGCAAGTGAGATGTCTTACCCCTTAAAACTCCCTTTGCCCTGGGGAAGCTGCCATCTTTTACAGACAAAAATCGCCCATGTTACCCTTAAAAAGTCGAGAAAAGTTTCGTGTTTTTAAGCGGGAATATCTTGGAAGGCCGTTGTTCAATGCCAGTTCGACCTGAACGCCTCGGATCTAAATCTGTACCATCACCATTCGAGAAGGGCAAACCCACATGTAGGATGGTACCCTGTCCACATGGCACCCACCAAACACAGAGACAGACACAGAGACAGAGACAGACACAGACACAGAGACAGACACAGAAACAGACTGGACGAACAAACAGAGACAGAGAGAGAGAGAGAGAGAGGGAGGGAGGGAGGGAGACACACAGAAACAGAGACACAGACAAAGACAGACAGACAGACAGAGAGAGAGAGAGAGGGGGAGAGGGAGAGAGAGGGGGAGACGCGCGGGGCAAAACTTGCCGAATTTCTACAGAGGCCCCGGCCAGCCATGACACCTGTGCGACTGCACTGGTGGCGTTGGCGGCCTTTGACCCCTACATGTGGTGTTGGTGACTTTAGTACCCGTGTTTGGGCCTGGTTTCGGGGGCAGCCAAAAGAAACTGCCTGTCCAAAGAATTGCCTGCCCTTTTCGGCGTCCCCCATCTGGAGACCCTCCCGATGGTTTAACAAATTGCTTGAAAGAGAACTGGAGAAGATAACATTTGATATGCTTTGCTCTGGCCTGCTCTGGTTTGCTCTGCTTTGCTATGCATTGGCCCCTAAGGAAATTAGCCCAAACCACCCCGCAATGTCTGGTTTTCCAAGCTAGTGAACCGGAGGGTAGCACTCCGGTTCACGCAAAGAGTTTCAACATTTAAAAGCACATCCCAGCAACGCTGCAAACCAAAGGGGCCACTCCCTACATTCCCCCCCGCAAAAACGGGCTCCAGTTCAGGGACGGGCACCCTGGCAAGCAGCAAAATTGCCCTTGCGGTGATAATGCGCTGCTCTTTCAGGATACATGTGCGCGAACACAGGGAGACCCTACAAGTGGGCGTCCTTTTGGCAAAAAAAAACAACCCTCCCCCAAATAAGGGTCTTCTTCTTCCACACGGCTAAGGGGATCAATCCGCGCATGCTGCTCGACAACGAATTCCGCGCCATTCGACCCAAAGAAGGGTACCAACAAACAGACCCACAGCTTTTGGCCACCCGGAACATCGATCCAGCCGGTCGCCGAGTCAGCCTCGCTGAGTCAGCCTCACTCAGCCGGGGCCCGCGCTTCAGGCTGCTCTGCGCGGCCGTGGCGGCGCCATCGAGGCTCTCGAAACTGAAATCGAACCTGAGATCCGACGTGTTCCGCACCCGCGCGCTTCCGGGTCTTACACTGGAGTCTCCCTCTGACCCTTTGAAAATGGGCCAAGGACCCCATCATTTTGGGAAATGACAAGCCATGTTTCAAGACTCCAGGGATGCCCCTTGAAAACAGGATACTTAGAAGGGACTTCAGTGGTGGAAGGGGCAGGGTAGTTCGTAACCCAAGCTACTAGAATTGGCGATCGGGCACTTAGTAAGTGGCTGGCTTTGTAGGCGCCTGGTACCCACTAAAAGAGACTTATAACCATGGCTTTTGTGGGTTTTCTCACCAGGCTTGCGAACCACTTACCTGACGTGCAATGCCCCTTTAAGTACTCAGCCGCCGCTTAAAAACCTGAAAAAGGTGATCACCTTTTGGGACCTTTACTAGTGGACCAAACTGGAAAAACAAAGGGCCGGTGTTGAACCACTGATCATTCTAGTAGGCCACCAGAAAAAAGAAACCAAATCACGGCGAACCTAGAGGAAGAACTTCTGGTTGCGTGCCATTGGGTCGATCAGTGGGCTGTTCCAGCTTGAAACCATTGAGAAGACTTCATAAGTGGGTTGGGACGTCTTGCCAGGCCAGTTTGGCAGACCCTGCCTGGGCAGTTTGAGAAGCCTTGCGGTGTTTTGGCAGAGCCTACTGGAAGCCAACAGTGTAGACAGGCTGGGTGTCTTGAAATTTCACCAAGGCCTCTTTAGCCAAAAGAAGAAGCAGTCAAACCTTGTGCGGCTTAGTGGGAAACTACACCACGTCCTGGGGTCAAGAATCCCGGCGAATTTGGGCCTGAATGCCTTTGTCCGCAACACATCGCAGTAAATGTCAGCAATAAACCAACACACAATCACAAACCAACAACAAAACACACACACACACAAACACAAGCACAAGCACAAACACAAACACAAACACAAACACAAGCACAAGAACAAGAACAAGCACAAGCACAAGCACAAGCACAAGCACACACACAAGCACAAGCACACACACAAACACAAGCACAAACACAACACACACACACACACACACATCAACACACAACAAACACACAACAACACACAGCGGCACTGCACAAGAAACATGAGAAAGCAAACAGCACGACACACCGACACACAACCAAAAATCACAACGTCAAACAAACAAAGGCCAAACAGACAAAACAAGGGGCACGAAACTAACCAAGAAACAAACCCCACACGCGTACACACACACACAAACGCGCACACACACACACACACACACACACACACACACACACACACACACACACACACACACACACACACACACACACACACACACACACACACACACACACACACACACACACACACACACACACACACACGCACACGCACACAAACACGCACACGCACACGCACACGCACACGCACACGCGGCACGCACACGCGTACACAAACACCGAAACACCTCACCACAGCATAATAATACAACAGAAATCAGAGACAAAGCACACCAAAACACAGAACTCAAAACCAAAAACGCTGAGCGACACAAACCCATTGGAACAAAGCACACACACACACATGACGCAACAACAAGCAATAAACGACACACACACACAAGGAACAACAATATCACTCACCGCAATCAAGGATAGAAGAAAGAACTAGACCCCCATAAGCAAACATCATAACTTGGACAACACTGAACATCGCTTGCTGATTCTCAGGGAATGAGGCAATGACCGCCTATAAACCATCTATGGCTTCCTGGGAATCCTTTCCAGAACCATGCTTGGTTTGGTAGAAGGGGCCATGGAAACTCAGGGCAACTAGAGGGCCGCCGGAACCCCAAAAGCCCAGCCGGTTCCCATGCCAACGTCTAACCTAAACCCGTCCTATTGTTGGGCTCAAGAGTTCCCATTGCAGCGGTCACTGGATTTCTGAGCCCGAGGATGATTCTTGGAAAGCCAATTTTTGTGGTTTTACAGGGAAACCAAAAGAAACACCGCCATATTTTGGGGGGTCTAACCAAAAAACAGACACACATATACATATGCGCACACAAAAAGAAGAACAAAAACCACGCCGGCAAGATTACTCTCCCTAAGACTAAGATGAAAGCTCCCAGAATGCCTCTGCACATGGAACCAAGTCTTCCAAAGGAGCCCGGGGAGCTTCCATGGAATCGCCTGGGGCAGGCTGACCGGGTGACCGGCATGCAACCCAAAAAAATCAATCCGCCAGCACCTCGATCTCTCCCTTTTGGTTTTCCTGTTGGTTTTCCTTTAAGCCAACGCCAAAAACAAGAAATTACCAGCAAAAAACGGAAAAACAGACATTACCAGCAAAACGCAGAAAAAAACAAACCACCAGCGCCTCCCCGTCTCTCTCCCTTTTTCTTCACATCCATGCGCCACACGATGTGGCGCACCCCCCGCTGCAGCAACGCCATGAGCCCCGAGTTGTCGGTGCAGCCCCCGTCCGCGAAGCGGGCCTCCACGCCTCGATCGCTTGGCTCGCGATGAGTCGGAGGCCCATAGCTGAAGCTACTGTGGATGGTTGCGAAATCCATTTCGCACCAACTGAGAATCCAATGGTTTCAACCATGGTTTTTGGTGGTGCAGAATTTCGTCCATCCACAGTATCAAGAAACATGTCTCAGAATCGAAATACTGTATGTAAAACATGTATCAAGAAATACTATGTTTTCATAATCGAAATATTGCGGGTAAAACATGTATCAAGACATGTGATTTGTTTTTATAGTCCAAATACTGTATGTGTGTAAACCATGTAAATATTTGTATATATATATATATGATTACAGGTATGTGTATATATAATCTGCAAGATTCACAACACTCTATTTCATGTATTTTCATGTATCACCTATTACCCCCTTAATAACCCCCTATTCAAGGCTTATCCACTAGAATCCCACCCCCTTTTCAGACCCCCTTGTAGGTCCATGATTTCATGTTGAGCAACGGCCACGGGAAATTGCCCGGACAGGGGAAACTGAGCTGCCCCATTGGTTTCTGTGATAAACTTGAGGTTTCTCTTCAAAGTAATAGCAGTCAATATCTATTGTGCACCCTAAGACTGTGGTTGGTGTCCCCAAATAGGTGTCCCTGTCTGGGAAACTAAGGGGAAAGCCATTTGTGTTTGTTGGGGGGCCCCCTACTTTAACACACACACACACACAAGTGGACATACCCCAACACAAACATGGTTGTTCATGGTGCACATACGTGTTGTGCAAGGGCCATCCAGCGTGCATCCTCAATATATACATGGGCCTACTTGTCCACTTCAAAATGGGCAAAACCCTCCTATTTTAAAGAGAGGGGGTGTGAGCACGTATGCCAAAAAATGTGCTGTTGTTGCATATTTTGTGTGGGTGACAAGTCTGTTGAGTAACAACAGCGAAGAGTTGATAACTTTCAGGAAAGTTTACAGACTATGTCAAGGGTTTGACAGTTTCCCTGCACCAAGGCAACACCTGGGCAGCTGGGATAGCATGACCATGAAGACTTCCCAGACTGTTGCCTTGTTGCAGGAAAAAGCAAAACACCCAAGAAGGTTTATAACCTTGTCCGCAAATTTACAAACCTTATGTAGGCTGAATGCGTAGCAAATGGAAACTGTTTTTTGAGGGAAAAATTGATTGAAAAAAGGAACAATCTTCGGTCCAAGGGCTTCGCAATCTGAGCAAGTTCTGCAAAACACTTTGTTTTACAGCATTTTGTTGGACCTCCAATCCCTTGAAAAGTCCATGGTGAAACACCTGAAACCTAGAACCTGGAGATCAGAATCCACGAGATGTCCAATGTTGGATTCTCCAAGCATCACACTGGAGTCCTCCAGCATAGCCAAGTATACATTTCTTTCCAAATATGATTTCGCTCCGAATTCAATTTGCATGTTGAATGCAATTTAGTAAGCACATAGTTAGTTCACCGCAATTCATAAATTCACCATAATGTTTGATTCAATCAGAATTTGAATAGGAATACCTGGAATGCAAACATAATTCTATTGGCTTTTGAACATAAGAAATTAATCAAGAATCCATCCCCAGATATGACTTAAATTGGAATCAGACTCCCAAAATTGGTCTGGAGATGTGTTTGGCATGTGCAAGTTTCAGGGCTTCCCTGGTGTACTCAAAGCCACTGTAAAACCTTTCGTTTTCAATCAAAGCCAGACACGAATCTGAAAACGGATTTCGATTTCGCTTTGTTGCCTTTCAAGCTGAAACAAATGGACACTGATGGAACCACCAGCAAGTCCCTTCATTCCCATAACCCAAAAAGGGCAGCCTCTGGTCCACTACCAGGGTAATTTTCCAGGACCCCCCGCTCAGGTTTGAAAGGCGCGGGTCCTCAAAAAACTTGCTGGCGCTCAGCGCAGAATGGGGGAAAGTGCAGAATGAGGGAATGACCCCTTTTAACCATCCGGTTGTGAATTTCCTTTAAGGGACCCCTGAATTGATTCCCACATTTCAGCAAAAAATAAAGACCCAAATGGAGCTGGACTTCTGACCGGGGAAAGAGGGGCTGTGGGACAATTTAGCTGATCCAGCTGGCGCATTTCTGGAGAGTCGTCAGACCCCTCCTGGTCCGTCTCCAAACCCTGGCCCCTGCAATTTTCAGGCGGCCGCGTGAAAAGAATTTCAGACACACCAAAGAAAGAAGTGGAAAGAAGCGGTTGACTTTGGACTCTCACTTGGCTAGGGCTTATATATCAGCCTAGCAACCCAAAAGCAGGTAGCATCTTAGAACCTCCTACTAAAACGGGCTTACAATGGTTTTCAGTGCTGCTCAAATGGAGATTAGAACGCGGCTGTCGGCTTTACGGATTTGCACCTTGGAATGTTGAAAACGATCCTCTTCTCAATAGTCTCAGAAGGGAACCCTTCAAAGACTTTGTCCTATGGTGTGTCACAAGCCCTAAACCTGCACAGATAGGCATGGACGCCGTTGTCATGTGGCGGCGCCCACATGATTGCAAAGATACATCGAGCTTCATTATAGCTCCCAAAGTAAAACAAGACTGCTTGCTTAAAGGGGCAGGGTACTGAGCAAACTCACTTGGGAGTTAAGTGGGAAGTTAGAACCGTGGTTATAACCCATAACCATGGTTGCTAACCACTTAATAAGTACCCAGCCCCTTTAAATTAAACGCAACTTTCGTCAAGCGCGCAAATACAAGCTTCGAATAGGGCGGGCGGGCTTTTCGTCAGCTGCGGCTGCGCGTTGAATGGTCGCACAGCTTCGAACCGCAGAGCCCTTGCTCTGCGTTGCACCCCCTTTTCAGGCATGCCGCTCAAACCCGTACAAAATATCCCAGGTGCTGCGCCGCTCTGCACCGAAAGACATGAACCATACGAGACGACTGCAACATGTGCAGCCCGGATCCGAGGCGAGCTTGCTTGTTGCCAACCCCAAAAGTCCTTCCGCTTAACCATGGTCCTGCCGAATAGATGCTACACACATGACTGTCATGTGAAACAAGCCAAAGCCTGCCAGATCCGATGCGCTGTCCATGTGAACCAGCCAGCCTTGCAAGCTTGGTCCAGACGAAAGGATTCGGGGGAAAAAACATGGAGGCCGCTGAGTCAAATGACAAATGCCAAAAACTCCGACTGAGCCGGCCAAACCCTTTATGAGCGCAGATCAGCTTCACGCAAAGTCCTGCTGCACCTACCTGTGGAAGATACCTGGCTGGTTGTCAAAATGTTGGTTCCTATAGGGCGTATCATTTGGCCATATGAACGCAACCATTGCGGGCAATAGTTTTGACAAGAAAGTACAAATAAATAACGACAGGCGCACTAGCGGGCCTTTTCTTACCTGCTGTCGGATGAGCAACCCGAGCTTGTAGAGCTGCTGCTTTAGCATTAACCACCTGACTTACAACTACAGCCTAGAAACGAGCAAGCAGCTTCTTGGGTATTGCCTCCAACAAGGCACGTGCCCCAGTTGTGCTAGCGCGGTGCTAGCGCAAAAAATTGGCCATGTTTTCAGGTTTTTCGCAGGGACAGATCTTATGTCAGACGCAGCACTGTCGCAAGGCCACGTGCAGATATCGTGGCAGGCGCAGTACTTTCACAAGGTCACGCACAGATATCGTGGCAGGCGCAGTGCTTTCGCAAGGTCAGGTCAAATAGTACTTTGTCTCCACTCTCCACACGGTGGAGACTTGGTGAGCAAGGAATGCCTCGAGCCCTGAGAGCGACCAGACGGAAGGGCCATGCGTGTGCATCTCACCTGCCACGTCAACGAACGTCCCCGACCTAGTGCCAAGCTAGCGCGAAGCTAGCGCTGGCAGTGGGATTTGCATGATTTAGGTGGGGGCTCGCTTCATTTCGCAAAGGAACAAACAAGATGCAACAGGCACTATGCACCTGTATATTAGCTCCTTAGCCAGTCTTTTTGAACGGAAGCCAGCTGTCTGCAGCAAGTGAACAAACAACAAGTTCGTCAAATTGTCTACTCGGTTTCATGATGCCAACCACCCTCACCTTTCCAGACTTTAAACAGACACTTCATTGCTTGGGCTGCAGTGGGATTTGCGTGAAAATTGCAGCTGGAAGAAGCAAACCGAGGTTCTCCTTTGAATTTTCACGCGGAGTCTGGATCTGGAGATAGAGCCAAATGCAGATTCTATTTTTTAGATTTCTCAGATTCTGAAACTCTTTCAAATCAAAACGTATTCCTTCCCTAAATCTGCTTGATCAATTCCAAATCACACCTTGGCTACGCCAACAATTTGGTTTCAAACCATGTTTCACGAGGCCATCGGTTCCTGAGGCGCCCAAAGAGGTTTAGCAAGCAAAATCACGAAGCCTCCTAAACATGACGTCAGTGTTGCTAAATGTTGTTTTGTTGCGCGGCGCATGCTTCCAAGATCAGACAACTAATTCAAAGTGGATCGAGTCAATTTTGGTGCAGCCGTGTTTGCAATGCGACGCTCAGGTTAGTGCTTCCTTGGGGTCAGATGCGAAGGTTTCAATTTTGATGACGCACAAGGTAAAGGGTTCAACCCTGTAAACAAACACAGGGGACATTTATCCATCGCTCAAACTCGGCAGAACTAACACTGCACGCGTGGGGCCACGTAGGCTAGCTTTTGCAAAACCCCTTCGCCTCGCTGCAATGCTTACTTGGGCAGGACTTTGCCCCCTTGAAGCCCAACGTCGGTGGGTCACGGGGTCGCAAAGCTGGATACTACAGCGCCAGGGCTTGTCATACTAACGAAAAGCCAAGTCCTTCGTGGACCGAATGGCCTCGAGCCTGGGAGCCACCCGCTTTGGGCAAGGAGCTTTGCCCAGCAGTTTTCCGCGCAGCTGGTTCTGCTCTGGCAACCAACCCCTGTTCGGAGATGAGAACACCAGACTCCCACAAGTGCGGAAAAAGAAAGTCGACAGACCCCGAGGACGCCTGCTTTCGCACACATCTCAGAGGCCTTTTGGCTATGTCCCAAAGGGACCAGTGCCA